ACGCTTACATTCAACATGTGCCATATTAACACATACGCTCCTCCCATGTCCCTTTGTTTTGACGTGATGTCTCACTCTGGCAGACAGTGACTTAAGAATGACTTGTATTACCTCCCAACCTTAAACACACACCTCATGATTAAAACATTACTTTAGCATTAGCCTTCGGGGCTACGAGCCGTCTGAATCAATCACCTGGGAGGCAAGCTTTGATGCTAGGCAGACGTCTTGAGAGAGGACATGGTGGCACGCTTCAATGCTCCAATCCCCTCCCTCCTTGTGAAGGGAAATTAAGAGGGTAGTTAATCAAAAGTTCATTAGCATACAGCGCCTTGCTCAGTCCACCCCTATATACCCTGCTCATAATGGCCACTTAGGCAGGCCATGTGAGAGGAATAACAAGTCTATACTATAGACAAAGGTCTGTACCAATCCTGGTTGTCGACTCGTTTGACTTAAAAGACTGCATCGTCCCCTATGTGCTAAATGAGTTTTCTCACCCTAGGACGAGCAAGGCCTATATAAATTCAGCTGCACATATTTCAAAATATTAAGGCAAAAATTGAAATTGAAATTTGTTTACATAATACATTTAATTAAAGTCAGCTTTTCAGTTTTTTCAGTGTGCACCATATCAATAGGATAATTAAATCCTCAATGACATAAGTCTTTGTATTTTTACTTGTAGCCAATGTAATGTCAGTGTGTGCCAGTTCACTTGACTTTAATTGTGGGATTTGCATAAGATCTTGGGGCTATTCAAATAAAATATGTTTAGTGAATCTGGTTTGCAGAATTCAGTTAACTTCATATCGTCAGGTCACTGTATTCATTTTTAACATAAAATCATTAGTCTGAGAGCACGGTATTGAATATTCCCTGTTTACCATGTTAAAATTATAGTTCAGTCAGTTTACCAGCATATTTTCTTAGAGCTACTCTTCTCCAACGTTATGTTACTGTTTGGTGGCTTGATTCTGCCCTGTAAAACAAAACAGAAATTCCATCAAAAGAATGTGTATGCTATCTTACTCCCCGCTACTTTCTAATTCAGTGTCATACTAACAGAACAGTCTCACATGCTGACAGGAAAATTACTGCTAACACAGGGCAACTGTGAAATAAATGTGTTGGTTACAGTATGAATGAGAAGGCACTGTGGTGAGTCTATTAGAGGTTCATGCCTGAATATGTCACAGAAATGGAAGTTAAGCCAAAAGGTGTGACCTGGTCATTAGGCGCTTTCACACCGCAGTACTTTTCCCACAAAGGTTCATGAGAACTTAGTTCATCAAAACTCTTTAGTTCTGATGAACTAAGTACAGATCGCGTTCACACCGGAATAAGTCCCTGGGGGTGGATTAGGCAAATGAAGCCGCTGACGTCACTTCTTCTTCTTCTGCTTTGGGTTTACTGGCAGGCCGCAAACAACTTCATGGCGTATACTGCCTCCCAAAATCCCCGGCCGGAAGTCCCCGGAGTTGGGGACTGGCTTATTATACATCCATGACTGGCTTCAGTAGAAATTGCTGGGACTCCCAGCAGCTTCTACTGAAGCCTTCCGAGTAAATCGCCAGAACGCCCTCATCTCCACAGCTCCCATGTTTTATTTTGTGTTGCCATAAGTTAGTCTCTCTGCGTTTCTGCGCTGGGATAATGCTAATGCTAATAATGCTAATGCGAGGATAATAAAATGGTGGCTTCACTTTTTTTGAGTGTTACGGGGCGTGGCAATCCGCCCAGCCAATCAGAAATATAGCTCTTTTCTCACAAGAGAGCCGCATGAGAGTCCCTGCTCTCTAGCAGGGACGGAAAAGGGGGTAAAAAGGTTCTCATGAACTAATTTTTGTTCCGGCTCTTTTTGGTGTGAACTCGACAATTCGGAACTATATCGGAACTAAAGTGGGAAAAGTACTCCGGTGTGAACGCGGCTATTGAGCCAATTGTGTTTATTTCTTTGCTTTACCTTGATATATCCCGGATACATTCACTAACCCTACATGCTTGGATTGGCCCTATTTCACACTCATTCGATTATGCATGCACCCACCTGGGAGCTGCCGTCTCCAACCACCATCACTTATTGCTCGCCACCAAGCAGCTCCACTGGGGTTTAGCTAGCATCAGTTCCTCAGCTGTGACCCGCTGTAGGCCTTGGCAACAAGCATGTTAGCTGGTTGCTAGCTGCCACGTTTTTGTCTCTGCGCCCCAGGAGTTTAATAAGCCATTAAATATATGTTCAATATAAAAGCTGGCTAATTGTGAATTTGGGTAACGCCTATGACTGGCAGCTGAGAATAAGAATTGTAGCTACATGTATAGATAGTTCTGGTTATGTGTTTGCCTGCCTTGTTAAGCGTGTGTACAAATGTGTTCATTAGATAAATGTGTGAGCAAAGTTGCACCACCATCATCTGAGTCACTTGTTCTATCTCTCAACATTTTTAAGCAATGCAACCTTTATAAACTTTTCTGCAATGAAAGAGGCACTTTACCTGGAATATGATCATAGAGCACAAAACTCCGCAGGCATAGATGTGTCCCCAGCTTTCTCTTGACAAGTCCATCAGCGCTGCTCAGTGCCTGCTCTGCTGCTGGATACACCTGTCAGCATAAAGTGAGAAGAGAACAAAGAGAGAGGGCAAACCTGTGCTAAGCACTGACTTTCAAAAGTCTGGGGCAAGTACATTGAATACAACGTCATTATCAACACCATTACCATCTGGATTCTCAAAGTCAGACAGGGAAACCTTGATATAAAATGTTTGAGAGGGTTTTTCTCAGATTTTGTATGCATTATGATGCTCAATTATAAATACAGAAGGGAGAAATGTGACTTGAGTTTATATTACGGGATTTTCTCTCTTTGAATGGTTTTCTTTTTCTGTGCACACTTGGTGTCTGTTGTATTGCTACTTATGTAAATGTATCTCACCTTTTTTTATTTTATACAACCTGCTCTTGTTCCTGCAAGCAGTGTAAAACACTTCACTTAGTTTGCACATACCAATTTTCTTGAATTCTCTGCAATACTCCAATATATAAATACTCAAAGCAAATATAGAATATATTACATTGGTAGAGCTGCTGATATAAAACATCCAAGCAAATAGAGAGTTGCAGAGCAGACATTTTAATAGTCACACATTATTACTTGAACTTATAATGATAAGAAATTGGAAAGTCCATTTCAATTAGTGAACATTGTTATCCTAGGGATGAAAATCATCTGATTGAGTTTTTTATTATTAATGTCAATGGAGTGTCTTTTCTTGCTTGTCTGTATTTAGTCATTTGATTGGCAGCTGTTCCATGACTCCGCCCTTCTTGACTACCGGGGCCTGAAATGGTCAGTCCGACAAATTACATCCTTTTAACCCAACTGTCAATCACACACTTAGTGGACTTACCCCCTAGGGGGGTGTATTTCTGTATGGGTTTGTATGAGAAAGTCTCGGACAGTAGCCCTTGGACTCTGCTGATCCACACAAACTGAGATTCATTAAATAATGTACATCAGACTAGTATTGATATTAAAGTATCTCCAGTACACACACCAACACACATTGAAATTGATTGAACAGTAAGCCAGATTCACAGGCCTCCTTCCTCCCATTAACACAAACAGAGGTCTTCAAAAAGATCAACCTGCACAAAGAAAGGAGGAATTCAGACCACAAACCTGTCCAGTTCCATTGACAAATAAAATACCAGTAGCCCCATTTTAAATGATGTAGAACCCGGCAATGTAGACTACACCGTTGGAGAAAATGCTGACAATCACTACCGGCAAGGCTTAAACCCCCAGAGTCCATCCATGAGGGGCAGCATTCGAATGGCAGCAATTTATTCAGTAGTCTACTACTAAAATAAAAAAATAGGTGGAAAAAAATACGAGATTAATAAATAGGGAATGAGACTTAAATAGGCAAATCCCATAGGTACTATTGATCTGTGGCACAAAACACACACACGCACACAAACACTCAGGCTTGTTGCCAAAAAGCATGCTCGTGGTCAAATATGTATAATTGATTGAGTTGAGTTTGACAAGGCACTGTAATGTAATCTGGGGCTAGAGTCCCTATGGTGTGTGAGTGTGTGTGAGAGATTGAACAGGGAGGCGGGGGTAAGCGGGGGATCGAGGCGGGGTGTAGTGGTGTGCAGGAAGAAGAAGGGACACGCTTTTGCTTTGGGGACTCAGTGTAAATTTGATGTATTGGACGGCTACATTTGTCTTGCCTGTACAGTACCAACCCCACGAGCTACACATGTAGGAACAATGGCCTTCTCTACTGTAATGGGCTTTTACCAACAGGGACCACTTCCTCACTCACACACAGTTTCTTTGCATGTGTGTGTGCATGTTTGACAAACTGTAACGAGTACTTTTTCACTTCATTCACTTCAACATCTGATGTTTGTGCCATTTGATGATTTTCTAAATGTCTTAGTAATTTTATCTAAAAACCGTCAGTGGCAGGTCCTCAATGAAAACAGATATTTTGACAATGTCACATCAAAATAATGAATTGGTAAAATAATTTATACCGAAAACAAGCAGCTCTAGTTTATACGGGCTGCAAGTTCATAGTGCCTGTATTTTCCACGTCTGATTCAAGTTTATTTTATTTTCGTTTGTGTACTGTGTGTTGTGTTTACTGGCTGTGTGACTGCCTGACAGTATGGCTGCTTCTTTGTACCTCTGTCACTATGTGTCTGGTTTAATTACAGGCCTTTGCAGGAGAATCGATAGGAGCAACAAGATAACTAAGTTATCAAACTGTTTCATTGACTGGCTGTCCCTTCTCTCTCTATCTTTTGCCTCCTCTCTATTTTGTTTCTCATTTCACTCTGCCTGTCTTCATTCTCTATTCTCTGTTCTCCTTCCCTTCCATTCATTTTCTTCAACTTCTTCATCTGCTATCCATTTTCCTTTTCCTTTCCCTATCTCCCCCCTCTGTCTCCCTCGCTGTGTTTCACCTACCCCCTCACAACAGGCCGACAGACCTGTCCACCGGAGAAGTTTGATTGCGGAGGTGCTGCCAGCAAATGTGTTTCGTTGTCATGGCGATGCGACGGGGAGAGGGACTGTGAGAACGGAGCAGATGAGGAGCAGTGCGCTGCAGGTACGTTCCAGGGGGGCGGTGGAAATGTGGGATGTGATGGGAGAAAACTGGGGCAAGTTACACAATTACTATGATCTGTAGAGCTTTTATCCTTGTATCTGCGGAACTAAACATGAATGGACTTATGGACTTTATTTTATAATGCTTGACGCCTTTCAATAGCTAATTCCGTTTTGTTTTTTTCAATTCAAGTTTATATAGCGGCTACAGATCCTACTTCTCTTTCACCGTGAAAAAAGATGGATATTTTTGAAAGAATCCAAAACAGCAGAGGTGGAAAAAAAACTGAGATCTGAAAACCAAAGAGAAAGAGAGGGAAAACAGGTTTTGATTACAATAACGACAATCTGATCTAAAATAATGTTTCACAAATTCACAAACTTTTGGCTATGTGAGGAATATATTTTTTTGAACCACATAATGATTCAGTTAATCTGGTCAACTGGGAACATTTTAAAGTCAACGTCAAAGCTGCCATACAAAGTCAAATGTTTCATCTCTTCATTTATTTATATATTTTTTCTGTCTTATGTGTCTAGAGATGTCGAACATAATCGGTTTTTCTTCCCCTTACTCATGTCCTTGCTCTTGTCTGTTGCTTGATGGTCTGGAAAGTTGGAGAAGCAGGTCACTATGCAGACTTCAGGGAATTGGTGGGATGTTAAAGAAGGGAAAACCACATATCTCTCTTCAAAGTGTCTTTCAAGACATTCAGCTCTTTAGATGTCATATTCCAGAGTATGATATCTCAAATGCTCATACACAAATCTTAGCTTGCATTATAGGAAATCTATAGAATTACTTTGTGAACAAACCGCAGACACACAAACATCCATCATCTGCAACACCCTCTCACTTTCCATAGTAATACACATTCACACACATTATAGAGCCTAAATCTTCTTGCTCTTGGCTAAAAGGGCACTCAATAGCAAAACGTGCATTGAGTTTCAGTGTACATGGGTTCCATGGCATTATGGAATTCCAACCTTTATCACAAAAATACACACGCACACAAACTTTTTTTATTTACTAAGTAGTGAGATAATAAGATTGCATGAAATATCCAAATGTACATGACACCCTTGTCTAAAATCATACCTATTATGCAATATAATTTGCTCTGTTTATTATAGGTATACGGTAGGCACTAATATTTATAAGGCTTAAAAACAATAATAACACATTATAAATAATTTTATAAAATTTATAAAAAGTATATGTACAGACTATTTTGTGTGTGTGTGTGTGTGTGTGTGTGTGTGTGTGTGTGTGTGTGTGTGTGTGTGTGTGTGTGTGTGTGTGTGTGTGTGTGCGTCCAGTACAACTCAGTTTCCATAATGTTGCCTCCAACCCTCAGGCACTGTGACATTCATACGTTGTAATGATGTAGGTAATGCACAAAATGCATGTATGCACACATGCATGCATAATAAGGGACACATGAAGATTGCCCCTGACTGTTATTTAAATATTTCTCTTGTATGCACAACCAAAAAGTTGAAAATAGTAAAAAATAAAACAGTCTTTTAATGTACTTAAAGGTGACCTATCATGCAAAATGCGCTTTTGTACGTCTTTTATACATGAATATGTGTCCCCGGTGTTCCAGGGAACTCACCAAGTGTCAGAAAACACAACCCTCTCTATTTTCCTCCATACCCAAATCTCTTAAAAAGGGGCTGCAACGGATCTGATACAGACTGATCCAGATTTGAACACTTCTATGACGTCACAGAAGTGGCGCTAAGGCTATTGGGCCAACTCCACCAATCAGGAGGAGACAGCCACGGACATTGCCGTTCGAAAGCGCTGGAGACGCTGTAGTACATATGCCAGGCCTGTAGATGGTGCTGTTCTTACAGAATCAGCCCATGCAAAGACAGTGTTAAATTGAGCGAAATGAGGAATGGCTAAAATGCATGATCTGTTTGGTATTTTGAAAAATAAAAAGTATAAATATGCCTTATATAGGTATGGTCCTACACTATATTATTTAAATATAGCAGGATAGGTCCACTTTAACAGATTGCAGAAGCAATTTTTGATAATTTAATATCTAAACTTTTATTAATTGAAATGTTGTCTTGTGGTATATTATCACAATGAACCCCCTGGGGTTATTATGATAATCTAACAACACATATCTACAAAAATTAGCATTGTGCACATTCAATTAACTTCAACATGTACCATAAACACTTAATACTATTTGAATCCGGATAGATACTATAGCAATGAAAATAATATTCAGGTTTCGTAAACATGTCAAAGTTGTAATATTTCACTCGAAAGATTCATTTTTGCTTGTTTACATTTTGACATCCAGAAAACATATTTAGAGTATTTGCCTCGACCCAACTGATTTAAATATGTAGAATTCATATTTTATCTTCAGTTTGCAACATACACATTTGTCTTGGAATGTTCTTGACAGATGGATATTGATAGTTTAACTCCCCTTTTGTCATGCTTGCTCTGAGTGTTAGTCTCTGTGTCGACCATTCATCTCCATTCTGTCTGTAGGTTGTAAGAGAGTAGGCTGCTGGTACACAGAATGATTACATTAGGGAGTTTGTGGTCATGAACGAATGAAAACAACAGCAGCTGTTGATTTACTCATGTAACCCAAGCTGCCATTGTACACATACCGTCTTTGTTTCTATGATGTTCAACATGAACTAAAAACATGTGCATTTTCTTTCCTTTCTTCCTCACCCGTTTACACCTGCACATTTTAATCTCTTTTTATCCCTGCATAATGACTTGGAGGACAATCAGACTTTGTGCTTTTTTGCTATAGCCTTTCATCTGTCTGAGATGCTATCCCTTAGTTCAGTGGGAAATTAGGTGGTTGATACTGCCATGAAAGTTTTCATTGGGGTCTGGATGATAATTGATTTCCTGTGTGTGTGTGTGTGTGTGTGTGTGTGTGTGTGTGTGTGTGTGGG